TTGAACAATCATAGGTCGACCCATCAGAAATCAGGCACCATCTGTAATCAGGGAGAAGTGACATTTTTATAATGTTGAACCTTCTTTCCTCAGTTTGTTTAGTTACTTTGTGCCCGCTGACAACATTTTGTAGTTTTTAAAAATCCAGACCTTATATCTTCAGTATTAAACTTATTCTTGGGTAATGGAATCTATTTATACCATGAAGTGTTCTAAAAGGCCATTTCTAGCAATATAGAAAATATTGATTTTTATATGCTTATTTTTAAACTAACCCTCTTAATTCTATTAGTTTCTTATCGTTTCTGGTATTTCTCATTAGAAAGTATAATCTGCAAACACTGACAATTTCCTCATTTTTAATACTTCATTTCCTTTTCTTATATTAACGCATGCACCGATTGAGGTGATAGAAGCTGACAGTTTGACCTCCCTTTTATTTTAATGGGAATGACTACAGGTTTCGCCGTTACATTTCATATTGGTTGTTGGTTTGATGTAGATGTTCTTTATCATGTGAAGGGAATTCTTTAATTCTAGTTCCCAATGGCAGAGGATAATGAATTTTATCAGATGCCTTTTTGGCATCCACTAAGATGAGACAGGCTCTTTTGACCTATTAATTGCATTCCAAGAATCAACTTTATTTAGTCATGGTTTACAGCTGGGTTTAACTTGCTAATATTTAATTTAGGAATTTCTGATTATTCATTAGAAAGGTTAGGCTATAATTTACCCTACTTTTTGATGTGTTATTATTCGAGCTTTGAAATATGAATCGAGAAGCTGCTTCCCCCCCCCCCCCCCCGTGTTATTCAACAGCTTAAATAGTGAGTCATTTTCTCCCTTCACTTGCAGCCACTCCAGGCACCCCATGCTCATTGGCCCTGATAGTACTTTTTGTTTGTTTGTTTGTTTATTCTGAAAGTGAGAGCAAGAGCGAGAGCAAGAAAGAGGGAGAGAGGGAGAGACAATGTGAGGGGGAGATGGGCAGAGGGAGAAGAGATAGAATCCCAAGCAGGCTTCACCCTCTGAGCACAGAGCCCTATGGGGGGCTCAACCCCACGAACTGAAAGGTCATGACCTGAGCTGAAATCAAGAGTTGGATGCTTAACTGACTGACCCGCCCAGGCGCCCAGCCCTGCCAGTTCTTCTAAAACTTTCCATCTGCTGCCAATGCCTCTTGATGGACTCCTACTCATTTCCTAGGACACAACACATCCATCGACACTTTTATACAGACTTGCCCCACCACTCCCTTAATGTTACCAAGTGCCTTTATTCCAGCAGTAATCCTACTATAATTTACTCATCTATTAACCTACTTTTCCCATCAGATTTCGAGCTTCTGGAAGCAGGGACAGCCATGTATGCATTTAAAAAAGAAATTTCTGAATCTCCAGGGCTTATCCCAGGACCTGGCACACAGCATGTGCTTAATAACTCCTTGTTACATGAATACACCCATGATACATTTTGCTTCAAATGTTGCCAGTGAAAAAATTTCAAAGAGGTATGTGTATGCTCCTTTGCTTTTCTCTGACAACAAAATAGAGATAATCATCACTCACTGCCATTCTGACACTTAGCAGAGCGCTGTGCTGGGAGAATGGATGTGAAAGAATAAAGGATAAAGTCAAAGAATTAAGTACAAAAATACACAAGAGCTTTCAGACCGTCTTTGACAATAAAAGGTAACGTGCACTGAGCATTTACTATGTTCCAGGTACGGAATTATCAAATTTATTTCTCATAACAGCCCAATGAGGTAGATATCATTGTCTCAATTTTACATGTGAGCGAACCGAATTTTAGAGAGCTTACATGATTTGTCTGAGGTCAAACAACGGGCACGCCTGCAGCCAGAACCTTAATTCAGACTTTCCGAATTCAGGGTCCACTCTGCGGAAGATGCTCTATCTGGACTCATCAGTAAAGACAATGTGCTCCACTTATGTGAGAAAAGAGACAAATGATAAGCAAAGGGCGAAGATTTCGTCAAATTCTCTACTTCCTCAGCTTACCTTTGTTTAGTGCACAACAGAGAAAAAACAAAAAAACAGATTATTGAGAGTATCTACCCGATTGCCTTTGCTATCATTTGCCTCTCTTCTGATGAAAGGGGGCTAGCCATCGAGTAAGGTTCCCTTTACTTTTCAGTTTATGCTACAATGCTGCTTTCTCCCCAAAGGACATCTGCTGGACCGTGGGATCATGGGCCACCTTTCTTTTTCCCTCTGTGAAGGGGACAAGACAGGTAAGAGGAGACAACTTTCCTTAATGATTTAAATAATTAAGTTCCTGGATTCTTAAGCTCATGGCCTGGAGCTACGGGTGAGTGACTGTGACCTATAATCTGAAATGAGACAGATTTCAGGGTTCTCCCCACCCCCAAAGCGGAGGCACCATAGAAGGGCTAAAAGCAGAACAAGAAGGAGAGGACTTTAGCGCTTTACTGTGGACATCTCCAACCACGCCTGCTTGCTCCCTACTCCAGGCTGCGACCCCAGCGTGAGTGACAGGAGTGGGGAGAGGTGTTCAGAAGATTAAAGGCCCAAGTCACCAGAGGATGCCGTCTCGCAAGAATATTTAGACATTTTCCACTTGGCAGTCGTTAATATTCTCCAGCAAATGATAAGCAGAAAACCTGTTCAAAAAGGCTCCCTCTTCAGATCTTGGTACCCTGGAAGATAAAGTGAATGCTAGGGTTTTGTTTTGAAATTAAATATTCATTGGCTTGGGTTACAGCCATTACAGTTCTTGAGAATAAAACTGAATTTTTCCTTTGTTTGAAAACAATGACAGTCATTTCACTTTTAAGAATCAATTTCCGTACTGCGTCAGTCAGGGTAACGCCTGTAATAGAACAGTCACTACTTAGAATTGAATACAGAATGGCTCCAAGGATTTCATCGCTGGTGCCTGGGCATTTCGACATCACAGAAATCCTGAAGCCAGAAGCAGCCATGGACTAGAGGAGAGACTTGGGAATTGGATCCTGGGCACCCTTCCAGCCTCTGGGTGAGCTCTTGGCTCTATTAGTCCATAGCCGCTCTCATAACATTGCGGACTTTCAGTTTCCTAGACTGTAAAGTGGACCGCATTCTTTCTTCTTGCGGGTTGCATAAAGATTTAGAGATAGGAGTTGGAAAATGGGTGACACAGAGTAGGAACACAAGAATGGCAGCCATCATTCATATTTTAACATAAATACTGAGAACAAGTCACTAAATGGCTTAAAAGCCATTGAGATCTTTTTTTTTTTTTTTAATCCGTCAGGCACTGTTGCTCGCATTTGCCTTGAATTGAAACACCTTTTAAAAGCTTTCAAAACTTTGAAGGTTGATTTCAATGAAATCAGTTTTTATTCGAGGCGTTTCTCCTACTGTCATTCTCAGTAAAACAAAAAAACACTTACTGTCAAAACAACAAGGGCTTGCTCTCAAGCACAAAATGAAAGCAGATATATCTGCCTGATTTATTTTGGCATCCGCCTAGCAGTTAAATAGGACACCTTTTAATTTGCCACTTCTTTAAGATTCATTTAGATTGGAAAGGTAAAGCACCAGTGCCTGGGTTCAGGTAAACTTGAACTAGTTGGACTAAAAGGTGTATTCTTTACCTCTCAGATATGTACCCTTTTAAAAGGGCCAATTAAAGAAAAAACTATGTATTTAGCAACATACTTAAGATGGTAACATCTAATGGGTTTTTCTTTTTACTTTAAACTGGAGGAACTTAGAAATCTACCTTATTACCAAAGATCAACTAGAGGTCTGGGAAAGAAAGTCAAAGCTGTCAATGAGTTTATGCAGAACTATTAAAAAAAGTGAATTTTTTTTTTTTTTTTTTTACAATTAAAAACAACTATGAGTAAAGAGACTCAGAAGTCAAATCTCAACTCTACCATTTGCTGGCTGGAAGTTATTCAATCTCTGTGTCTTTTTTAATCTATAAGTTGGGGAATATATCTACCCATTTGTTAAGGAAATAAACTGGGGCAATGGACAAAAAGCTTATAGCACCTGCTGGGCACATAATTGTGAGCCACAGCTATTATTCACAAGAGCCTGTATAATATTTTCTAGCAATTTGATACAGGAGTGAGCATTTCTTACTGTATGAAAGTTGTGTCTTCTATATGCCCCAAATTTATTGTGCTGGAATTTCAGCCCATTCCTTCATTGTCTCAGTGTGGCAATAACATCTGTCTAATACTTTCTGTATAACGAGGTCATACGAGGGCACGTGGGTCTGCAATTATTAACATAACCATTCCTAAACGGAGGTGTTACTTTTTGTCATGTCAATGATCTAACTGCAATCTGTGATCTGGCTGATCTAATTTAGTTGTAAAATGAAATGAGAATCTCACACATATATACACATACATACATACACATGCATAAACATTGATATGCACACATAAACATTTTCTGTTAATACACATACAAGTCAAGGCCCAGCTCCAAACCTGAGTTTTGTCTTATGTTGTCTCATGTTTGTTGATGTGGACTGTATGGGGGAATGTGAAGAAAGATAAATGCTTCCTCTTTGGGTCTCTTAAAGCAGACGACATTACACTGAACTACGCAAACTCTTTGAAGGTGTCGATGAACCTTGGTCTTCAAACCAAGAGTTTATCAGGCTTTTTTTTTTTTTTAAGGGGGAGACACAACTCACAGACCTAGTCGTGGGGTCTTTCCCAATTTTGGAAGTCCAGGGCTACGTGTAGTCTAAATACCACCTCTATACAGGGTGGTCTTTTTTGACTACACACTCCTCTCTCTTCGCTGTGACTGCTTCTTCAAGCATACAAGTGCCTGAAGTAAAGTGAGGATGAGCTGATCTAACTCCTCAATGAAGCTTTCTTCCTCTTTTCCACCAGGAAAACAGAGGCCTTTGCCTGGTCAGGTGGATGCTTAGATAGAAGTAGTTTTGTCTTCCAATCCTTCGTCTGAGTATCCAGGAGAAACTTGCAGAATAAAACCAGGCTAAGCTGTTGTTCTCAAACATGTTTATTTGTTAACAGTTATACATGGCGTGTTACAGAAATTAATGGAAAATTTCTAAAAATTTCACTGTTGCTGAATGTATTGTACATAAAGTTAAAAATAATGTGTCCATATATGTTAACAAACTGTCATCTGAGGTAAAGTTAAAGTAGGTCTAGAAATGTACTGAAACAGTCACTTTCTCTTTCTCATCTTTATTAAAAAAATATGTGTCAGAACGCAGAAATTGAAATAAACCAAACCCACAGAGTAAACATTTTTTTTTTTTTTTTTTTTTAAAAGAAGGTGCCCGGTACATGACAGGATGGGGTTTCAGGAGACACTGGGATGAGGACGAATTATAAAAAAAGTCTTGCGGCATGGAAAGATTGTAGAGCTACGGGGCATGGGGGACAGAAGGACAGGTGGCGTTTCCCTGGTTTCAAAATTTAAAGTGACAAATTTAGTGCTAGTGAAGGATGAGGAATTAACAGTTGTACACACGGATTTTCTATCGGTCTAACCGGAACTGGGCAGACTCTCCAGGGCCTTTTGGTTTTGGTCCTCGGCTCTTATTTGGAAATTCCACTGTACTCTTGGGATAGGATATGGTGGTTCCGAGCTCACCAACCAGTGCTTGTTAAGAGGCAGAATTCTGCCAATGACAACGTGGATGGCAGTTTAAAATCTCGACCTTATTTCTCTCACTGCAATGCATCACATGGGCCTCTTTGTTAAGTGCAGAGCCAGTTACACTTTGGGTCACATTCAGTGAATGATGACAGGTCCACTGGGCTGTCACTCCCTGCTATGGAATGAACTCCAGAAGGTGTAACTGAAACAGCAACACTGGCCAGGCTAGCGTTCACTTTGAACGTGTCGCAGGCAGCCCAAAGCATCAGTGTAATGGCGTCGTGCTTCAAGACAAAGTCAAGACAGCCATATTGAGGGAGAAGATATAGCACCACTTGTTAGAATCAGAATCATGGACAACGGAGCAATTTAAGCCATTTCTCCCTTGGGAACTGCCTAGTGTATCAAATCCCCAGAAAACAGGATTGAACCGGTTTTAAGACGACTCTCATGGTTATCAGACCTTTCCCATTTTCCCCTTTGTGTGAAAGGATTATTTAATTATAAAATGGACGTGCATTCCTGGAGAAATCATGTGGACCGATAGGTGACAGCTACGGGGGGAGGGGGGTAAACGGCCCTTTTCGCTTTTCTGGTTCTTTGGACCTTCCACATTAGGATGGCGTTGACATATATTCTGTACGGACATTTGGTCAGTTTACCTAAGTGGGAAAAAATTACGTCCCAGCCATCTGTCAGTGTAAAATTTGGGCCTTGAGCAGTGACAATTACCTTGATTTTCGATTTTCTCTTTGTGAGCCAAGTATCACCTTCTTTCAAATCGCTTTTGTTTCTGTTCATATGAAGAACCAAGATACACAGGTACTGAAGTCAATCATATCAATGCCAATTCTACTTTCCAAGGTTTAAAACCAAGTAATGATAGTTAACCCCAAATCCAGTTAACCGCATGGTCCTCTAAAGTTTTCTCCTTAGTGTTAAACCACTAAATTCAACATACTGGAACTGCATAGGAACATCGGGAAAACACACTTGACCTGTAGCACAATTCTCTGTAGGGCAAAAATAGAGAGATTCTTTATGAAAATCATGTGCTAAATGTATGAACTGAACACTGTACTTTTTGTCTCATCAATGTAAAAAAAGGAAGCTTAAACTCTTCTGTTTCACATACAAACAGTTCAATGATCTCTATGGGGGTCGGTGGGCGTGAAGAGATGGGAGGGAGTTTCAGAATCTAAAGGTCAGGCCTTCAAAATGTGAGCATTTTCTTGTGTTCTCCACCGAGGGCGGGTGTTCTTGTGGAAGGGCTGGAGTAGACGGTGGGGTCACGTGCTCCCTTCTTGCTCACTAGCTATGGATTGGCCACAACTGCTCTGCCAGCTGTCCCTGAACTCCAGCTTTCCCCCATCTGCTCCACATAACATCTGGAGAGGGAGCCCCATCCATCAAGTTTGTCACATCCTGCACTCAATCTGCTACCTTCTCTACAGTGTAATGGCATTATTAAAAAGCATTTTCATTAACATTTATATTTACAAAAAAAAAAAAATGGGATTTTTTTTTTTTTCATTAGAACTCCTTAAAGCCATTTCCCTTAAATATTTAAAGAGTTTAATGGTAAGGTTTTTTTTTTTCAAGTTATAAAATAAAAATCCCATTTGAATTTTCTGATGTACAAAAAGAGATAGCGATGAACAGTTGTGATCCTGGAATCAGTTTGTTATTCCGAATATTCGTGTCACCATTGTTCCATTAGAAAGTCGGTTTTAAGATCCAAAACCGCATAACCAGGATTGTACCAGAATTATTTGGCAAATGACTTTTCTTTGAAAATGGCACGTGGAGAAGACACTTGTCTGCATAGCATCACAGCAGCAAGATATCGGAAAAATAAAAAATATCATTTTATTGTACTTAAGAGTTTAGAGCTTCTTAGAAAACCAGATGCATTTTTTTCGTCTTTCTCATCAATGGGATTCCGATGTCCTTTCCTACTCGCAGAATGAAGATTCGAACTGAAAGCTGTCTGTCTTCACCAGAGTGCAGAAGAGCTAAAGGGGTGTTTTGGCAACATTCTTGATCATAATCAACCACTTATCTGTCTTGTGATTTTCAAGTGAATTCCTTTCATATGAGGCTTTTCTTTTCCAGTTACATTTCCTCACCCATATCTAAAAAAAGTCAAAAGCGATACAAAAATCTTTACACCCATTAATTTTTAAACATGACAAAGGAAAGGGGACACAATGGCAGACCAGGCCCTGTGGAGTGATGAAAATACATCATCATACGTCAAAAGGCAAAGGGATGACGATACTGTTGTCACGAGGGCATCTTGCTCGTGTCTACAAGAAGTCAGTGCCAACCCTGCTGTCACTCTCTGAGGCCTGTAACTCCACATTTGATGTCTTTACAGTGGCCAACAGGTTGAGAAATAAAAAGAGAATTATGATTTTGCGTACTGGGTCATCTTAAACCCATGCTGAGAGAGCTCAGAATATTTGTCAGGTAAGCATTGGCTTGACTTGTGATTTAATGTTGGGTATGATTTTTTTATACTTTTGTGTGTCTTTTTTTCTCTTGTGCTGCCATAGTTATCTGCCATTGTCGCCATGAATTCCTAGGTCCCTCTTCCAAATGAGTTCTGTTGGGCAGTCATGAATTTCTTCATGGGATGAGGTGAGGTGAAAGAATACAAGAGAGCCTGTCACGATGCCGATTTCCATGCCAGTCTTGAAGCACCTGCCATGAGCCCACATCGATGCTATTTCTTAGGTCTGTTGATCTGCGCATAGAGAGGCTCCAGCTCCTATGGACAGAAGGACAAAGTGAGACCTGCTCTTTTCCAGTTAGGATTTCCTGACACAGCTTGGGAAAGAGGGTTTGGGATGAGAACAGAAAGATGACAGTTTATGATGGATGACCTTAGGTACGTTTTGGATTATTTGATCATGACGCATGTCATTTTGGCAACTTTGTTTAATCACTAAGAATAACTACTCACCCAGGTCTGTCCTTGGTTTTCAAGCTGAGACTGGTTCCCCATTAGGGGAAAAGGTATAGCAGAGAGAGCTGGACGACCTGTGTGAGGTGGGCAAGATACTTATCCTTGCTGAGCCTCACTTTTCCCAACCATTAAGTAGGAATAATACTGTTTATCCTACAGGGTTATTGAGAGAAGTCGAGATAATCTATATGTAAAGCGTCCAAGCACAGTGCTTGGCAGTAAGAGGTCTTCAGAAAATAACAATCATCAAGAGTCGAGTCGAAAATTTTCCAACATAGTTTTATGAATGTCTACTTGAAACCACTGAAATTCTATTTCAAACTGTCTTTGGTTTCTGCAGGCAGTGAGGACGGAGTACACTTTTGAGCAGGAAAAACAGTGATTATGCCTTTAGCTCTTAGTGAAGAGCTTCTGGGACTCGTTTCCACTAAATCTCCTGCTTCAGGGTTGACCAGTCATCCGCCTGCACCCTGGAACTGGCTGTCCTGAGACGCACACAGGGACTTTGACCTGTATGTGACAAAGCAAACCTTCAGTCCAAAGGTATATGGGAAATGGTGTTTAGCCTTGTTGACACTAGAGACTTCATGCTGAGATGGCCCGGGGTGCACTGGCCAAGCAGATCAGATCAAGACACTGGTCTTAGGCATATACAGGCCCTTCCTTCACACTTGACCTTTTGCTGTCCACTCTTGGATATTTGCGCCAGAGTTAAAAGGAAACAGTGACATCTTAATTCTGTCATATTTCTCTATTAGCCTGCCTGTTGCCATGTGGGTATAGATCCTTTCTATTTGCTTATTTTCTTCAACCATCAGATTGAACTGATATTCTGTGAGCCCTGGCTATGCGTCTGGCACCATGCTAGGTATCTTTAAGGACGGTGTCTTTTTAGCTTATCACAACAGACTTGTAAAGCAGATGTTTTATCTGTTTTGCAAATGGGAAATCACGTACAAAGCAGTGAAGCAATTTTCCATGCTCCTACAGCTAGTGAAGTTTGGAACGTGAGACCTGAAAGTAGGGTCCAGTGCTTTTTCTAGGCTACTACAACAATTGCCATGAAAAAAAAAAAAAAAAGAGAGAGAGACAGAAAAGACCAGTCCTTCAATCTGTAGTGTTGTAGAGTGCTTCGGGGTTTACAAAGCACCCTCCTGTCTTATTTTATCTGCTTAACCATCCTGGGAGTGGCTTTTACTCTTTCCATCTCATTTTGCAGATAAAATCTGAAGGTCATAGAAGTGGCGTGATCTCAAGGTCATCGAGCTGCACCTCATGCATTTAATAGATCACATTGCTTGCTTTTATTGTACGGTGGGAATGGACTAGGAGATAATTTTGTCCAGATCCATCATTTTATAGGTGAAGAATGTGAATCCTAGAGAAGGGAGCTTTTGTTTCCCCAGAATCACAAAGTTACTTAGAAACCACATCCTGAACAGAATCCAGGACTCCTGCTGTCCAATCTAAGATGTCTTCTTCTAGACCTCACTATGTCTGTATTCTTCCAGGAAAAAGCATCCGTCTATCCTTTGAGACCCCCTATTCTGTAACAGGAGAGAATACCAATTCCCACGCTTCCCACCCATGGGACTTCATACTGCCCTTAGAAACATACAGAGTAAGTGTAATCTTTCTCCCAAATGTCTCATGACAGAAAACAGGGAAGCCCATTATTCCGTATCCTACCTCTGGGTTACTGCTTGCCAAGTTCTTCTGCTATTTTACACGTGCGGACCCAGCACAGTAGGTGCTCAATGAATGAATTTGTTGGATTAATGAATGACTATGATACAGCTTCTACTCTCTCCTCTGTGCTGATCACTTTGTCCTAAATAAGTCCAGTTTGGCTTAATTCTCTCAAACTCTAACCCAGCAAAATCTACAGCAAGAGGATTTGTTACGCACCTCATCTCTTCCCTACCAATGCCTTGAAATGTTTCAAATACCTATTGCAAGGCTAACCACGCAACCTTACCGTGTTTGTGTTTTGGGGGTGGGCGGGGTGGAGCAAAGGGAGAAGTAGTGAAGTCAAGTACAAGTTCTGGGGAAAAAACATGTCCTGTCTATGCTGGGCTATAGGATGTATCGTCATCATTCCTGGGTAGAACTGCTCCGCCCACTCTTCTTTTTGGATATCCTAAGAACTCAGGCCGCCTTGATCTCACCCTACAATTTGCTCTATTCTAATTTTGGAAACTAATTTATTCAACAGAGAATGACACCTAAACACAGAAGAAGACAGCAGGCCCAGACAGGGTAATTAATGCCACACTGCATTAACTTTCCGCAGCTGAGATAAATATTCACACATCTCCTGCTTGCCGGAATTTAGTTTCAAATACCCATCACAACAGTGGTAAGGACTGCAGTCAACTCTCAATTATCCCCACTAATGAAGGGGAGCAGTGGTGTGGAAAACCCCAAGCAGCAGATAATCCCAAAGTCTGACACTGTGATGCATTATACGTTTTGGCAATAGCTTTAACTTCCTTGTTACAGAATCTTAGACTGTCAGAGCTGGAGGGGAGTAAGAAATCATTTGATCCAGAAATTTCTGACCTGGCTTCTGGCAAGGTCATGGTGGGGTCTTCAGGCTATTTTCAATATTCCAAAAGCCTAAATGGAATCATACATTAACATAGCACACCATTGATATTTTTTGTTTTCTTTTGGCAGATCTGACCACATCTCTGCCCTCCTTCAAAGGCTTCCCAATCACCCACAGGGTAGGGTCAAAGCTCCTTAGCTGGGCACACGAGACCCATTTGTCTCTTAGTCCATTAGAGCTAACAAATGCCCCTTCCAGACCGTGAATCAAAACCCAACCTTCAGGTCACGTAAATCATGGTTTTTTTGTTTTGTTTTTTTTTTTAAATGTCTTTATGCCTCTGCCAGAATGATCTTTCTGCAATGGATTTGGTCATGCCATTCTCCTGCTCAAAACAATCCTCCTGACTCCTTATTACCCCAAAGAAAATGCAAACCCCTCAGGATGGCACCCTTCCAATATGGCTCCATCTTCTTATCCAGCCTCATCTATTTCCATTCTCTCTCTTATGCCCCACCTTCTGCTCTTCTGGTCACCCTGGTCACATGACAGGATTTTCCCATCTCTGAGACTCTGCTCGGGCAGTTTCTTCTGCCGTTGGGGCCTCCCTTTGTCCTACAATGGGAGTTTCTACTTTCAGACCCAGCTCCAGTAGAAAGACTTTCTGGACTCTGCAGGTGACATGGGCCACTCTGCTCCCACTCAGAATTTGGGCACAGTGGAGCTCACTGTGTAGAACATACTAGAAGATAACATGATGCAGTGCGGACAGAGGTCTATACAGGTCACGGCAGGGAACTAGGACTGGAGGACTCTGTGCGGGTTACTTTACCCCTCTGATTTCCAGTTTCTTCATTAGTAAAATGAGCCTAGAAGTCCTCTCTGTGAGAGGTGCGGTGAGGATCGAAGGAGGAAATATACATTGATTACCTAGCAGAAAGCCTGACACGTAAGAGATACTCCAAAAAGGTTAGGTCCCTCTTGCCTGGGGATGTGGTTTTATCCCTCCTTTGTAGAAGGTAGTTTTAGGCCTCACAATCACCTGTAGGTGGCTTCTCCTTCAGAGCACATAGGAGCCACTGTAACGGGGCTCTGTTAGGAAATCTAATAATGGCACTGGACTAGCCCAGGGAAATTGTGCGGAAAGAATGTGGGGTTAAACCTATAGAATCTGGGTGCGGGGTCCCGTGGAGAAGACACTTCCACATGTTTGCAGACGATGCCCCGTACGAATTATGTGTTCATGTACAGTAGCCATGGAGAACACAGAATTAGGGCGATAAGAGCTTATGTTTACAGAAACATATACAGTCTGCAAGGACTTCCTTAGCTCACAGACACCATCTCACTTGGGCTTCATAGTGAGGCTGTCCCCTGGATATTCCTATCTCTACTTATAGCGAAGAAGCAAGTTTCTCAGACCTTGGGGACTCACCCAAGGTCATTCAGGCAGCACAGGGCAGAGCTGGGATAGAACCAGGTTTATTTGCTTGCTTGTTTTTTAGCTTTTTTTTTTTTTAAATTGCAATTAAATATGCATAGCAAAGCATTTGCCATTGGAATCATTTTTAAGTGTGCAACTCAGTGGCACTAATTATGCCTGCAGCGTTGTACAACTCTGTCATGCACCTACTAAGCAGTCTCCATAGCCCCAACCCCTGGTAACCTCTAATCTGCTCTCCATTCCTGTGAGTTCACCTATTCTCATCTTAAAATCAACTTCACTGAGGTGTAGTTTGTAGACAATGAAATGTTCCTATTTTAAGTGTACAGTCGGAGGAGTCCTGAAAAACATATCCACCCGTGTGGCCCTCGTCACCCCGATCAAGCTACAGAACTTCCACAACCTTCCCTGTGTCCTTCTCAGTCAACCCCTCTCTCCAGTGCCAGCCACCAGCACTGATCTGCTTTTGACCACTATCAGCAGATTTGTCTTTTTCTGGAGTTTCATGGAAACGGACTCAGGTATCCTTATGCCCACTGTCCTCTCCACTACCAGTGCTCCCTCTTGTGGAAGGTCAAAGTAAGAACGGCTCAGGGCCTGACACTTCTCGCCTACAGGGAGAAGCTGAGGCCTCAGGCTTGAGGGTTGTTTTTCCTGAAGTTTCGGAAACAGAGGAGAGCAGCCCAGGGTGTGGTCTCTCATTTCTGTGTCTGCTTCCTCACTTCCCCCAGCTGGCCACACCATTTTGGCTTGAAGTTTCCTATGCCACCTTACGATGAGCCCCTTTCTGAAGCCACCTAAATTATGCTTAGTCCTTTGCACCCATTTAATTTTTATTAAGTTTATTTTCAGAAGCCTTTTTTAGCTGCATCTACCAAAGGATACGCCCCTTGAAAAAATTATGGGTGGAGAGAAGACAGGGCATGCTGAGAAAGGTGGTCTCAGAGGAGAGGTCAATGTGCACCATGCAATCAGCTTGCTGAGCAAGCCCGTCTATGTCTGGGGTCAACACTTAGCCAAGCCAGGGGTGAGACCGGAGCCAGATAGGAGCTAAAGCTTGAGCCCCTCAGCACCACCCTGCTGAGGCAATAACCAGCCCCAACACTGGGGCCCAGCTAAGTGGGGTTTTTACATTTCTTGGCTTTGCAAATGAAAAAGGTGGTGGTAGCCAGGGAGTGGAAATGAGGCTGAAATGAATCAAGTCCTATCTGAAGACATGAATAGAATCATTAAAAATGCATGGGTTTTAGAGCCAGAAAGACCCTAGCAATCCTAACTTCCTGTATGAACTTAGGCAAGCATTTTACCTGGGCCTCAGTTTCTTCATCTGTAAAATGGGGCTTGTAACATCTACCTCAAGGGATTGTAACAAGTAACAAATGAGCTCAGATAACATAAAATGTTTTAACAAATGCTGGGAGTCTTTGAACAAAAAGGAAAAAGAAAACCCCACAAAGTTTTCTGATCACTTTCAGGCTGCATGTTTGCCTTTCAGGGTAGAAAAGTCTTTAAAATACAGGATGGATTTAAGACCAATACCTCAGAGATGGACACTGCTGCCCAAATGCACTTGCTCCCTGGGATCTTGGGATGTTGAAACACACTTGGTGAATCCAGAGATGCAAAATCTGAGTTGGGGGGGGGGGGCTGTCCACAAACATTTTGATCAATTCTACATTTCTCCAACAATGATGGACACAAATTATCTGCTTTGCACATGTACATCATCTTTCTTGCTGTTGTCACAAAGTAGATGAAGTCGCTGAGGTTGTTGACACCAATTCTCTGCCATGAGCAGAGGGTCCTGTCCAGAGTAAAGTCCTGGTCATCAGGAGAGGGTACTGGATCTCAGGCCAATAGTCTCTGAGAACCCTAATAAAGCCAGCATATTTAAGGGGCTTCAGTCCTGTCCTTTGTTAGAATAAGGCAGCCTGGGGGAGGGGTGCTGTTAAAGATCTTGTGTGAGGAGTGGGTCTTCCATACACTGACTGGGTGAGCCGGACAAGTTAGAAGGTTCTAGAATGTCAGCTGGAAGGATATGGGAATTGTTTTACAGAAGAGAAGACCAAAGGTCAGAAATGAAGCCATCTAGCTCCAGTCACACAGCTGTTAAGTCAAAAAGAAGCTACTAAAACCCATGTGGTCCTGGTGGGGTTGAGAGCTCTCGAGCTATATAATGGGGATGTAGGTTCAAATCCTAGCCCCATTATGTGTAAATCTTGTGATTTTAGCAAGCCATTAACCTGTCTACTTGTCTTACTTGTCATATCTGTGAAATGGGAATAATAAAAATACTTAAGAGGGTGACCCTGAGGATTGAATTAGGTGATGTTTCTGGAAGGGTTATAAACATGCTAGTAATTTTGAAATATATTTTATTAGTAGTAGTAAATGAAAGGCATGGTGATTACCTTCTGCAGAATGATTCTAGAGATAGTGAGTGGGATCTAAATCAGAGGTCGGCAAACCATAGCCCGTTGGGCAATTTTGGTGGCTGCCTGTTTTTAATAATTAATTTGATAAAGTATTTTAAATAAAGTATTATTGGCACTCAGCCACATTCGTTCCTTTATGCATTATCTCTTGTTGTTTTCTTTCTCTAACAGTAGAGTGGACTTGTTGTGACAGAGACCTGGCCCACAAAGCATAAATGTTTAATTTTTTTTTAATGTCTGTTTATTTCTGAGACAGAGACAGAGCATGAGTGGAGGAGGGGCAGAGAGAGACAGAGACACAGAATCCGAAGCAGGCTCCAGGCTCTGAGCTGTCAGCACAGAGCCCAAGGCGGGGCTCGAACTCACAAATCATGAGATCATGACCTGAGCCGAAATCGGATGCCTAACCCACTGAGCCACCCAGGCGCCCCAAAGCATAAACGTTTATAGAGTTTGCTGACCTCTGGTCTAAACGATCAACATATTCTACCTGTGCCCATCCCTTCAGTGGCTTGGACCCATTTCGAAATCTTGCTGTTTAGTCTGGTTTTCTCTTTTGATCTCCAGATTCTTGAATCCAGCAGCCTCCTGCATCTCTACTTGGCTGTCTCATGGGCATGTCAAGTTCAACTCAAGTTCCAAAGTAAACCCACCCTCTCTCTGCTCAAGCATGCTCTCCTGTCTAGTTCCCCAAATTAGGAATGCGGGAGTTGTCCTTGGTTATGTCCTTGTCCTCACCTCCCAGTTCCCTTCAGTCTTAACGGTCTCCTGAGTTCGTCTTTTAAATATTTCTGGGCACCCAGCCCACCTCTCCACCGTGGCCGACATGGTCCTCAGAGGGTCCCTTCCCATCTCCTAACTGCATGACTCCAACGCCTTGGGGTTTGACTTGCCTCTGACTGTTATGTCCAAGAGACAGATTATTTTCTGTTTTATATGGTTCTTTGGTTTAAGGCTCTGTTGTTTCATTGTATTTAAAAATAGAATAATAACAATAATTCCAAATACATGTATTCTGCTTCCAAAGCCGACAAAGCACTTTCATGGTCATGATTATTGATGCTGGGGCAGCCTGGGGAAGGAGCTGTTATAACTAATTACCCATATTTATCCACGTGAGGGACCAGGATACAAAGGGGTTACGTGCTTGCCTAAGGTCACCAGCTTTGAAACCATAATCCAGACCTAAGTCCCTGACTCTATGCACTTCTTACTTTCTTCTTACAAAGATTGTGTTTTTATTTTTTTAATTTTTTTTTAAAGATTCTTCCACCTAAAGCGTCTGAAGTTCAGCTTTCTTTTCCCTTGAACACTAGAAATCCATCAGGTAATATTTTACATGTCTTGGATTCCCACTATGAAGATCGGTATTAAAAACATGACAACGACTTATTATTTATGGCAATATCTATTGTTACTAAGGGAGACAGACCAAACAATTCCCCATTGTTACAGATGCAACTTCGATTTGACAGCTGGGAAAGTCTGATAGGCAGTTTATTTACTTAGCCATTTAACCAAATAAATGTTTTCATTTTCCTTTCATCTCCTCAAAAGCTAACATCTCGCCCTTAAAACTGCTCCAGCAACACATCAGTGAAGTATAAATTACCTGCCATTCCCACACCAGCCATTACAATATTATTTTGGTTCTTTTTCTTCCCCCCCCCCGTTGACCCAGTCTTTCAAAGACACGGGATTGTCCCAGATGGGAGGGTAAGGGGAAAAATGAAATAACTGAAGATATTTCCCTTTATTGCTAAAACAGAACTGGTGTTTGAGATTGGTACTGAAGCTTCCACCTGCGAGGACTGAGTCCATTTGTTCTCTCTTACTATGGTGTGACGGTGTGATATGGCTTTCACTTATTAACAGATGTTACCCCACCTACTAAGAACCGTGTGGGTATTTCTAATCAGAAGCAGCTGGAGATAAACTGCAAGGGTGATAAGAAGGACAAGACTCCTCCTTTCCAACTGTACAAAAACAGAGGGGAAAATAGAGCCACGGATGTAACTTTCTCTTCACAGTGTCCCTTCTCCAAATGTCTGGAAAGGCCCTAAGCTGGTGCAGTTAGTAGATTTCTAATTGCGCAGATGAGCGGATGTGACAGGGGCGGAAAGATCACATGCAGCTTGTATTGCTGTTGATGGAGGGGCCCAGAAAGGCTCATGTGGACTTCAACTGTGGGTGTCTTAGGGGATATGTCTGCAAGGCTGGCATCAGCCTCTTGGCTTGGGATTCTCAACAGGCAAATGTGATCATGCCAAGTGAAGTGTTCAAAGGGAGAAAACTGTTTCATTGAAGATTACAGTCCAGCCCTTTTGGGGTTGGGAGCCATTTATTATAATTTATATGTGAATGTAAGCCTGCTTACTTTTTGGAAGTGAGAGGTGGCCTGTGAGCCCCCAGCTGGCATCATTCTGATTATGGGACTGGGGAAGCCAGAGAACTAAGAAATCACATTTTTCCATGGCATGGGGCTCTGGATGGAGCATCAAACACGGAATAGACTGAAGCCCCAAGACCCGGTTCAGCTTGTTGGACTGTCTCAAGCTGAGCGGGCTCATAAAGATGAGGGTTTGATACATTGATCTGCAAATGGTGTAAGTCATCTTTGTCTTCTAGAAGAACTTCAATTTTAGGATGATGTTAGCTGTTATACTGACGAATGGCTCTTGTCACCTCTGGTTCATGCATCAAATTTTTCAAAAAGGTTGAGCACGTGAAATAAAACATACACAAGGGGGTAGGAAACCTCTTGGGGAATCTTTCCAAGCCATCCACCCATAATCCTCAGCTCTCCTCTTTCCTGGAACATTGACTTGGCCTTAAATTCACCAGCTTCCCAAAGAGCTTTGCAAGGCTGAATTTTTAGACGGGTATTTTGCATGGCATATGTGTTATTATATGCTACTGTACTGGTATAAAATGTAGCAAAATATACAGCATGTTGAGCTCTTTCATCATAAAATCTATTAACAAAATGCACTTCCCAAACACTGTTTTAGCTTTCAATAACTGTCAAAACAACTTACATGCAAACGGAGGATTTTGAGCCTCAGCACCGAGTTATGAATGGTGAAAACTATTTACCATTTTAATGGTGCTGACCACGCTGTTCAGGACTAAGGAAAGGAACTCTGTGGGTACAGCCTTGCAGCCCTACACATTTGTGGAAAACTAGGCAGGTATCTGAAAATCGAACACATTCGTCAAGGAGAGACCTGAGAAACCACGTCTGGGCAACGAGGTGTACTTCTGTCTCCTGAGAAGGTTTGCTTCATCAGCTCCTCTTTCTTGGGACCAAATCAGATGTATTGAGATTCAAGTGCCAGAAGCCACTTCTAGTGAATGTAAAGACACTTCTCTCAAAGTCGCTGCTGATGGAATCTGAAGTGGTTCAGTAGCAAACCACATGCTGTAGCACAGGTGCAAACAGCAGTGCCTCAAGCGAATGCTACGTGTCTCTGAGCTTCGCATTTTGCCTTTACGTTAGGAAGGGCGAGGGGGTCCCTTGTGGCAACACTAAATGGGCTGCTATGAGCTTATGTCTATCAGTCTCATCCCAAGGCTTGTTCTTGCTTCTTCGCCTGGCTTCACCGGATGTTTGGTTGGTGACCTCTTTAGGTCTGTGGAGTGTAGGCAGATGCAGGGACACTTTGCTTCAAAGGTTGAAGCATTTGGATCCCACTGCAGTGAGAAATTATCAGGGTGGACAGGATGCGTCCATCTCAGAATGCTGATGCTTTCAGAAACTGAATCCGTGTTAATATTGACCATGCCTCATTCTATCACCGCCATCCACTCAGAACATATCATTACTAAAAGAATGGGACCGATCCCCACTCCTCACCCTAACCCCTACCTAGCAGTATACATCAAAGGTCATGCATCCATGAGGAAGAACAAGATGGCAAATAGACACGATGCAGGGAGAAAGGGTGCAAACATCAGGAATATGCTCAGGCAGGGAGA